CTTTTCATCTTAATACGTTTCAAATATGAATAGCATTGCTAAGGCTTTGAATAAAATGATTGCGCAGTAAATGAAAATGATCTAAATTTACCTTTATCTTAAGGATTTGCGTTATTTTTCTTGCGAGTATTATCGCCCGATTGGTGTGGCAAGTTAGCGAAGGCAACTTCCTTGCTGATATTTGTGTGTTCGAATCCAGAATAAGAAATGAAACTACTGCATAATGTTCAGATATGCACAAATTTTAAGCAGGTAATAATTTTTGGCAAAATAAACATTATCTAGCATGATTTTATACATAATTATCCTGCAAATACTATCAAAATCTTAAATATTTATGTTCGATATATATATATACATATATACACAAGTTTTTATTGCACAGGCTTATTTGTTTTTGCATAATCATTTGTTATCTATAGTGTACATGAAACAGTTAAGCACTTCGCAGGTTTCAAAACTTTCTCCCTTAATTAGGGAAATTTCCTTTTCCTCTTCCCTGCAAATGCGTATGAGAAACTCAAGAAGGGAAAAATCTCTTCTTCCATCGATGGCAAACTAAGTATACGGCACCTCCGTATAATTTGCAAAACGCAGAAATGCAATCCTAAAAACGCCGCTGCGACCTCCACCCAATCCCCAACCCCCGTCAAGAAAACGAGCCGCGGGAGTGATGAATGACCTAATGTCTATAGTTTACACACCTCCCCGTATCACCCCCGCCTGAGTGGAGCCGTCCAAGGACTTCTCTTCGTCGTCTGTGGAGAGTACTGACTTTTTCTTCTTTTTTTTTCCTTTCAAGTGTACGGAGGAGGCCATGGAATGACATAATTCTGATGACACGACAAGTATCGTGTGAAAATATAACGGGTATATAAATTTTGGTTATGGCTCGGAAATTCTCTTTTCTTTCTAAAAGGCTCAACAAAGAGCCTCCTTGTAAATTTTTCAAAAGGTATAAAACTTTTTATGGAATATTCGAAGTTTAAAAGTCAGAAATCATCGAAAATAAACTGTGTTCTTACTCGAACTCGAACCATATAATTACTCTATCTCGATGAGCTAATCATTATACCATAGTCTTACACACACACACACACAAAAAAAAAAAAAAAAAAAAAAGAAAAAAAAAGAAAGAAAGAAAGAAAAAAAAAGAAAACATTTTATTACCAAGTTACTTATGAACTGCCAAATACCATTGTCATTCAAAAGCAATAGTCGTCAGAAGCTGTTAGTAATATTTGCAATATGGCTGATAGCTTTCTGATCGAAAACATGGGTAATTCGAACAGATAAACAAGAACTTATATATATATCATGCTGTAGATTTTGCGAAAGATAAAACCATTTCACATTTTAGGCATGGCCGAAATTTTGCAAAGAGATGTAGCTCGCACACAAATAAGATGCATCATAGAAGACAGCCTGCAGATGTTGCATAGATGTAAAGATGGAGTTACAGACAAACGTCACGTTCAAAACATAATTTATTAATTTCTTAAGCTATTATCCTTGATTGACGCATAACTGGGGCTGCTATGTACGCAGCTTACGTTTTAAATAGTAGAAAAATGCAGCTTAGCGAAGAAACGCGATTTAACAGGCAACTGCAAGCTGCGAAAGAAAGTGCGTGCTAAATAGTGGAGTATTTGAAAGGATTGGATCCTTTCTTTGAATACTGAGAAGCGATTGGGCAAGAGATTTCGCAACGGATCCTTGAAGAGGGGATATATTTAAATTGCAATAGTAGAAATTTAATTCTACTTTCAATTAAGTTAGAAATTTGCTCCAATTAAATTTAATTTGTTAAAAGTTTCCTTTTAAATTCTTATTCTTACATATCCTTCCCCTTCAAGGTAAAAAAGGCTTGGCGACAGTAAAGCGTTTTAAGAGAAAAAGCATTAAAGCAATAGCAAATGAAGAGAAATTTTGTACATGATATATGTGAAAGAAATAAATGGCTTCAGGCACATACTTATAAGGTTTTCACTATGCCCCGTCCCATGATTCATGAATTTTCTCATATCTGCATATATAAAACTTGTAATTTAAAAAATATTAAAAAAATAATTAAACTAAATTAAAAGTCCAATTGTAAATTCTCTACAATATTATTTTTTATTCTTGAAATGTTTTACAAATAGTATAAAAATTAATTTGGAGTAGCAATTCTTCCTCGAATTAATTAAAAACGTTCAGAGTTCTTGAAAGGTTTCTTCAAGATCACATCAAAATCTTAACCGTCTTTTGTAAAAACTAAGTATTATTATCAATATAAAATTTAAATATTTCTAGTGCATGGTTATGAAATTGTAATATCCTAGCTAAATTGGACATCCTTGAAAGCTAGAATACTGAAAAACTGTTAGCGACTGTTAGCTGAGTTCTTGTAAGAAGTCCATTGTTATTATTATTGTTAAATAATTATTAGAAATGTCTCATATGTCTCATGAATTTATTTCTGACGAAAATATTGAACTTGGAAATGATTCACCAGTGCCCAACAGGCTAAGACAGCTGAACACTGGCAATTCGACGCGGGTAAAAGTACTGGCTTCATGGTTATTTTCATCGTTTTTGCCATGCGTAATAAGACTATGGGTCAATTTCTTTTTCATGAATCTTTCTTCAAAAGTTTCATGAGAGCATCTCCCCTTTAACAAATAGGCTTTCCGCGCTTTGCCGTATCCAAATAATCTAATTCCACAGAAATCCTCCATGAAGGTCTCCCTTACTTTAGATGAATCTTGGTATCTTGAGTTGTATAACCCATAATCAATCATCCAATAAATACTTTTCAAATACTTGAGAAAATACTTGTCAAATGGAATAATTCAATACCGAGATTTTCACTTGACATGGTTATATAAATGCATTGTTGTACTGATATGAAACTACACGAGCATATTTTGGTGTAGAATATCACATTAATGCAGTAAATTAATTGCAGTAAGCATGAAATTATATTTTTTGTAATAATTTTAATATTTATATAATAAAACATATCATTGAGTTTCCATGCATTTAAAATATCCCAATACCGCATATCATAAAACATACACCTAAAAACATAAAAGTATTCCAAAATTTTCATGCACAAATACGATAAAAAATTAAGGGCAGTCAGGGAAAGGAAAATTAAAACTGTAAAGTATAATTTACAATTTTAATTTTTAGCTTAATTGGCTCACCGTTTTAATCTTTTGCTGGAGCAGTACATTCTTTCATTAAGAAAGAATGTATTTTCATTTAAGAAAGAAATTTATTGCTCTGGGTTTAATGCGTTTAACATCCTTCCTTGATTCTCCATTGGCAGTTTTTCATACAATTAATTTTATAACGTTACCACGCATGGTGATATAACTGAGACCTTAGCAAAAGGAATAGGTTAATGTGAAAATACTTGAAATTGAGATTTTCGTATCAATCAAATAAAATCCATGTGTGATTTTCCTACATTATATTATTCTTTTAGGCAAAACATGAGAATTATTTCCTTATCTGTATTCCAATTTACATTAACAGTATATTAAGGGACGGAATCAAACGAGCTCTCATCCACATAATGAATCATGAGTTTCATTAAGGTAAACGAGGTTAAATAATGCTCTAAATAAATTAACAATTAGAGAAAAAGTTCCTTCAATTCACACCTTTAATTCAAAAACATGTCGAATCTAAAATAACGTTTCCACAAATCTGCCAAAATGAACACTAGTCATTTGGATACAAAGCGACTGATTTATTTTCAAAGTTTTATCTATCCCTTAAGAAATGAGGTTTTCGATTTTTATCCATTCATTGTAGCAGAAACGCTCTATTCGGAGAAATCGTAAAATCACATCCTTAAACTTATCTTGTTAGATTTTTATGTTTTTGTTTCTTAATCGTATACGTTCTTTGGAGGTTATCAGCAATTAATTTTAAGAAATTACTTAAAGCTTAGGAATACAAATAAGAAAGTATTCAAAAATAGGAGAAATTTCATATTTAGATATCTTTTCAAGTCATTATTTGTGTAACAATGTTTCAAAAAAATGTATTAGCAAAATACATGGTAAAATATACTATATGAAATATGAAAAAAGATGGAAAACTGATAGATCTCGATTTATATTTTGTTTATGGAATTCTAATAAGATATTTAATAGTAGTTAATAGACAGTAAATAGCATATAAATAATGTTAATAGACACTAGTTAATAGACAGCATATCTAAGTAATGCATTTTGTACATGTATATGTAGTTAACAGGTGTTTTGAATTATACAATTCAAACTTTTCATATAATGTATTCCGTATGTATATATATATGCAATATTATAAAAATAATGAATGGGGTGTGTGTATTTAATTATGGCAAAGCACACGAGGGCTATCTGCCTAAGGGGAGGGATGCCTTTCGTGGAGGACTTTCTAAGGGAAACTGGCTCGTATACACGTTACACATGGGGAAAACCACGAAAACGCCCATGCAGCCAGCCCGTTCGCGGGATTCGAACCTCGGACCGAACTACCAGTGTTCAGCGACTTTACCGCTCGGCCGCTGGTGGGCCCAATAATGAATGGAATAAAGCATGTGTTTATGGAACTCTAATAAAATATTCATGCAGGTATAGAGCAGGACTGGTTAAAAATAATTTTTGATCTATTACTATGATTCTTTATGCATATATATGTGGTTTATATTTAAATTTTGAACTATATGCTTCTTTCCACGTAATGTATTTTGGATGTATACGTATATAAACTTATAAAAGAAAAGTATAGAAAAAAGTATTTTATAATAGTAGGGTGAACAAAATAATGTTAACATTCTTTTCTCTTTTCCGTTATTTTAATTCATTTATAATATCAATAAAGTATTTAATATGATTAAAAGAATCAGGTTCAGAATCTTACGAGAAATTCTATACATTTGAAAAAGAAGCGAATAGATGTAAAGGGAAAAAAATCTCTTATCCTCTTCTTACTTTTCTATTTTTTTTTCCTTTTTCTAGGGGGAAGATAACCGAAGAGCCACCAGATCCTCCAGGGGACCTCTAGGTAAGCGTCAACCGGTTGTCATGGCAACGGACCACTCCTGTGGTTCTTAAGGGTTTTCTTCCTTTTTTTTTTCCTTTCCTTCATTCCTCGGGTCCATTAATCATTGTCTGCCCTGCACCACGGTTATTCCCATGCCGACCGCAAAACATCGCATTTTAAGGTTTCTCAAATCCCTGGTTGGGTACATGGGTCGGATTCTCGCCCTGGATCACGTGAGTGGTTATTTGCGAACCAGAAGAGACATTTTCGGTTACGTGTTTACCAGGTATGAAGGATTATCCGAGCCAGAAAAGACTCCAATAAAAAAGTGAAAATAGGTGTTCAAGAGTCACGATGGGATGAGAGCTTTTCTTATTCGAAATATAAGTAAATATTTGAAATCGTGAATCTATGATTGTTTTCAGATATTCATATTATCTATATGGAAGGAACTTCGAATTTAGCACGATTTTCTTTTTACGCTTCGTGTTGAAAGAGGAAGCTTAATATTATAAAGCTCCATATATGATATGGAGGTGGTATAAATATTGACATTTCTGTTATTAATGTTCTTACTTCATTTCATGTTTAAACATATTATAAAGCTTTTCTTTATATACTTTTTGAATTCAATGAAAATTATTTTTATCAAGTTTAATTTATTATGTGATTATTATAATAATTGTCCCATTCGATATTTTGTTTTTTGGTTGGTGCTTGGGTATGCGTGCCTGATTCGGTTTCCATCGAGAATCCATCGACAATACTTTTTTTTTCAACTAGAATATCAGAAAATTTAAAACAAAATTGAATCAAAATTTTAATATAAAAAACATTCCCCTGAATATTTACACTTAAAATAAATAGTTACTTTTTCGTAAGCTGTAGAGAAGTCAATGTTTATATATTTAAACATTGTTATTGACAAAAGAAGACACGTTTTCTCCACCCAATTAATAGAATTCTCAGCCAATTCATTTTTTTTTAATAAACTGCATGCTGCGATGGAAGTTTATAAATGAAGAATGCGAAAAGTCCTTTCTGAAGCTTAGAAATAATATACACAATGCGTGGTAGAACTATAATGCGACACAGAATGGATTTATGTGAATGTGCACATTATAATCACTAATCAGAGACTGAAAGAATTGAAGATAACGCTAATAATAAAGAAAGAAAAAACTTTTTAATTCTGAAACTATATTCCAACGCTACTGATTTCAATTTGCTGATGAAATTTCGAAATTGTCAAATAGATTTATTCAGAACACAAAATGTACATTACTACTGAAACGAAACAGAGAAAAGAAAGGAGAAAACTTTGTAAAGAATATCAAGTAATTAGTTGTATAAAAGGGGTAATTATAGAATTATTTTATTAATATAATCAAAGAAATGAAATGTGAAGTCCACAGATTTAACTCTAAAAAAATAGCAGAAGATTTAAATAATGCAGTCCACCGTACTTGGCTTGAATTTCAGTAGAAAACTAGATTCTTACAACTTATGTGTTTGCGTATGTGGTGGTGGTATAAATATTGACATTTCTGTTATTAATGTTCTTACTTCATTTCATGTTTCTTTCAGATATTATCGATATCAGGGGCGTAATTTAAATATAAAAGATATTCAAACTAAACAAAAGTCTTGGTGTCGCAACTAGCAGAAGTTACAAACTGAGATCAGCACTGGGTGCACTTCCTGTTTTATCAATTTTCATATGAATGCACAAATCACATGAATTTGAAACTACACATGACATGTAGTTTCAAATCTTTTGAATAAATTGTGCTAATGTGAAGATATTTATATTTAATTTTCAATAACTGCAATCATTTTGCACTTAAAGCTGCTTTACAGGGATGACAAATTTTCTTGGAAAGTCAGGTTTCTCTGATTATTATGAGGAGTTCCCCATGATTCTGAAAATTATAGTTAATTACATGCATACATACGTTATAATACACAGTTATGTCTTATCTAAGAGCTGTATTTAAACATATCCAGTATGGTTACACACAACCAGCAGATGAAAAAATAGATGGAAAATGAAGTAGCCTTAAAACAAAACTGGAAATCGTAAAAGATAAGAGAAAATAGAATGGATTGCAAAATTTATTAATTTTAAATTCTTGATATTCAGAAACATATCCAGGAATCAACATAACAATTTCTCATTATCAGTTTTACCACGGATTGTATGGTGTAGCTAAACCAAGATCGAAAGAGAAAGGATAGGATAAATAACTGTCTTAAACTTAAGGGGGCCCGGGGGGCACTAAAATCTTTAAAGTGTTTAGGGCATTTAACCGCCTTAATCCGGTACTGAATTATCACTTAATTTTTGTGGAATAATTTCCCGGCACTTATATCGTTATCAAAAATATAAATGAGTAAGAATAAAAGCATTATAATAAAATCAATAAAACTATTAAAAATAGAAGATACGTTCAAATATTAGTTTCATAAATGTGGAGTAATACAATCTATTTTAGATAAACTATCATGCTACGTTAAATTGTGAGCTATTTAGAACAAACATTTACTCTTTACGAGATATACTAGCAGCACAAATCACGACACATCTGGGCATTATTATACGACATTATTATACATATATTATAATAACATGGCATAATAACATGACATTAGCAACATAATAACATCATTATAACATGACACTAATAATAACAATTATAGGGATATGCTATTATACATATGTTGACTTACAGCTAACAACAGTTTTTCAGATTTGTAATTAAAAGAGAAAGGTAAAAGTTTTTGTTATCTCATTAGAGCAAAATTGGCAACGATACTTTCGTTTTAAAGCATAGTTTCTTGTAAAATTAATTTAGAGAAGTTGGCTCTTTCTTCCCTTGCCCAAAGAACTCCCAACATTATAACTCTGGAAAAAAAATTATCCTCAGAATTTTCAAAGTCATTAAATGAGCAAGATTAATCTCAAGCGTCAAACGAGGTTTTTCCAGAAATTTTGAAATAATTTTTCTTGCAAATTTCCGCAAATGCTTTACTTTAAGAGCTGTATTAGAAATTTTAGTATTAATTCTGAAAACATTTCCTTTGCAATTTCTAAAATTTACTGTATTATATGCTACTGTGTTTTATACTCTTACAATCGACAAAAATCTAGATTTATAAGCGATTATAAATTTATTAAAATGAAATAAAGAATTTTCTACATTCAAAAGTGATAGAGAAAAGAGTTAAGTGACAGTTGTCAAAAGTCAAATATTATAAATTTATTCTCACTATGTATTATAGTCTGTTTCTTTAAAAAATTCAAGGCCATTGCTGTCTGCGATCGTAAAGTGTGTCTTCATCACCACATCTCACTATATTCGACACCTTATGTGAGACTGTAGGTTAAGTCAGCCTTCATTCGTGTGCTTATCATGAAGCGAAACAAACTAAATGGAAGTGGAGTGGAAAAAAAATACGCGTGTCTTTTTCATGATTACGAGGAAATCCGGGTGGAGAGAAATGACTCTAAAGTTCCTATTTTAAAGTAAAATACATTAATACAACACACTCCATATAAAAATTCATTCTAAGTTACAGTTTCATTTCTTCTAAAGAAAATAGACATTATTTCGAAGTACCAATATTCCTTTCGAGCTTGCATATCAGTCTTCTGTTCTTCTTTCAATTAATCTCAAAGTATTCTAAAAGTGTTTTCACTCAACCTTTTCAATTAGCTCTTTATTGTAATAATTAAAATAACTTTCACGTTTCAAGAATATGTGCTGTATGCTCCATTCCTAAAGTCGCTATCTGGGAAAGATCTACACAAAGAATGTAGCCCAGAAACTCATATGGTAATCCTCTATATACTAAAATGTGCCATTCTGCCGAAACAATTTAGTCTTTTCTAACGAAAAAAAGAACACACAACTCACAATTCTACAGTCTAATGTCAAGAAAATCCTTTCTCCAATAAAAGCAAAACTAATCTTTCGATTGGCGCTCCAAGCTTTTATCTTCGACAAGTGACAATAATCCCCGGCATTAAAATGCGCCTTTAATTGAAAAGCACGAGACTACCAATAAACCCGTTTCATAACGGATCTTAATTAGAAGTAATTTAGCGACGTAATTAAAAACAAGCGGCGTGCAAATAAATTTAAAAGGGGACGTTTAAGTATGAAAAGTTAAAAAAAAATTCTTTTACGATGACGATATATCAGTCATTTCAGGTTAGAATCAGAATAAAAAGAGGTAGCTAAACCATTAACACAGGCTTAAGCAAATTTTCGTTTTTATGTCTTTGCTGATTTGGTTCTAGCGAATAACGCATTTTAATTTCCGTTGCTATGAAATATTTCGGAAGAATATTCTTTGAAATATAATATTTTTTGGGTACTGTCGGATAAAAGTAGCATGGTAATGTTCTGATTATCTTCACCGTTTAATATGAAATTTATTTGTACCTAAATCGAATCTTCATATTTTTAACCTCACAAAATTTTGTTTGTGTTCTAAATAGTCTGTCAGAAGTTAACATTTTTCTTTCGTACGTAATTTCATTCATGTTTTTTTAACTGTTTCATTGTATTGAAATCTTTATGACATCAATTCTTTGTTTTTATGCTCATTCTGCAAAATATATTTTCAAAATTTTCTGTTTTTCAATGAATTTAATGTTTCTTCATTCGCATCTATATCCTTTCATACTTTCATCGTCACCATCAGTTTGCGTTATTAATTTTTTAATTACTCTTCATTTTAATACTTAAATATGCTATAATTTCCATTTATTAAAACTTCATTTGCTTTTTTCCTTTGTTCCCATATTTTCTCATTTCTCATCTCTGATTTTTTTTTATTCTCCAGCATATTTATCTTGCATACGCTTTTTTTTAATATTCAACCTTTCTTTAATTTATTCCTTGCTGTTGCTCGTCTTTACTATTACTTCTCAGACTGCACCATTTCAACTATTTTACACTTACTTTTATATTGTTCACTATAATTTTAAAAAAATTAAAATCAGGTTATGTGAACATTTAAATGCAAGATAATTTATTCAGTTATAGTGAATTAGATTTAAATGACTCGGTTTAAATTTGCAGAGTTTTATTTAACCTACACATTTTTTAAATAAACAAACCACGTAGATTTAAAAATAAGTAGTTTATATAATAAATAAGTCCTTTTAAAAATTTACGTCACTTGAATCCCTCCTCTAAAATTTTGCTTTTTTCATTGGCTTTTTTTTTCATGTGTATTTTGAATATTTTAAAACTATTTGAAATTTCAAAACAGTATGGCATTTTTTTATTATTAGTCCCGAACTTCATGTTCTTGACTCATTCTTCTAATCTCATATCATCTTTCTTACTGTAATTTAATTTTGCTTGAAACGAAAGCTTACTTAGCCCATACATTCAGCAAAGTAATAAAATATTTCCACACCAAAAATCTAACTTGCCATAAGAAACTAAACTAAATTTTTCAATTTTTGTAAGTCGAGATTCAACGAATTTGCACCATTGTAAACTTAACTTTATAACCTTTATGATATTTTTAGACCTTCTTAGCCATCTCTTTTCTTTTACCGCATGTATTTTTTATCTAATGATTTTATATTCGTATTTAACTCTTCTTTATTTTACTATTTCAGATTCAGTTCAAGATGCACAAAGGTATAGCAACCAATAACAATTTTTGCTACTATAAATAATAACTATTATTAATTTGCATTAATTATTTTTGTTATTATTATTATTATTGCTACTACTGTTTCCTTGCAATCATACATATCACTTTCACTACAGTTTTGTTATTAAAATTTATTATTACTTTTATTGCAAAAAGTAATTATCATCACATTTACTGCTGAAAACACCAGGAAGCAGTAATATTTATTTCCTGAGAAAAATTAAAACTAGAGATTAAATCTTGTTCGATAACGAAACCACTTTTCCACTTCCATTTTAGTGCAATAATTTTTCTTAGGCATTCCTCGTTTAATTAATTATGGTAAAGTACACTCCGCTATTTGCCTCTGAGGGAAGGGATGCCTTCGTAGGGAACTTTCTAAGGAGAACTGGCTCATGTACTTGTTACACTGGAGGAAAACCACGAAAACGCTCATGCAGCCAGCCCGATCCCCTGGAATCGAACCCAGGTCAGAATTACCAGTATTCAGCGGTTTTACCGCACGGCTGCTAGTGGGCTTAAAGACGTTCTATCAAGACGAAATAATATAGCCTTTTTTAACTCGTAATTATCGTACAGAACACCTTCTTCTGAAGTGTATAATGACATAATAATGCCAATAAATTATGTGATTAGATTCTAGTTTTAAAGCAATTGATTACTTTTAATCAAAATAAACCTTAAAATATCTAATACCAAAAACAAGTTAATAAAAGTACAAAACAAAAACTTCCTATTATAAAATAAACCGTAAAATATCTAATACCAAAAACAAGTTAATAAAAGTACAAAACAAAAACTTCCTAATATAAAAAAGCCCTATCTCATTTAAAAACTTAAAAAAGAAATAAAAGAATATATTTTAAAGACGTAAGGACAGAAAGTATCAAAATATATTTTGTTGCTGATACATGTTTACACAAGATTTACTTAGAATTAAAAGTGAAATGAATTACAGCCCAAATGATTAGTTGGCATTTTAATAATGCATAAGTCTCGTTTATAATAATTTGCCATAAGGACTTTTAAATACAGTTTCAAATAGACAGTTTCAGTTTCGATATCCGTTTTTAACAGAAATTAATAACATATATCTATATGTGCAAATATTAAAATACGAACTGTAAGTTGCATATGAGTATTTCAGTAGTGTGGAAATGAAAACCAAAGGCCTCATTCAGTTGAAACGTTTAGTGATCGTTAGCAGCGAAACGACATCCGTTGCGATTAGTTTCACAATTTTCGTATTCAATTGAAACGCACCGCTCGTTACGCGTCAACTACCGATCACTTCGCAGAATGGTCACTGAAGACCCATCATTTCGCTACATGATCGATCGAATCAAGACAGCGGGAATCTTCTTGTGGTTAAACAGAAGACGAAGAAATGATTCAGTGTGCCACGATAACTGTAATGTATCAGAAATCCACTCGATTTGCCTAAAAAATGATTTTTTTATTATTGTATGATATAAAGGTAATTTTTGATGATTTTTATCCAGGCACAAAAATAAGCACTGCACATGAAAATATTAAATTAATAAGGGTCGCAAACACTTGTTTTTGCACTTGAGCAACCAACAACTGAATGACCTCGAATAAAAATGTACTATATCACTTATGGAAATCTTTTTTGTTGGTTTGCAGTTAATACTCTTTTACTATCGAATTCAGCTATTTGATTTTTCTCTATATTACATTTGTTACACAAGTATTATATCCTATTTGTAATATTTGATAATATCTATGGATATAGAGCAATATTATGCTGTAAAATTAGAAATTTTTTCATATTACTGCATCTAATTTTAAATATTTGCATCTAATTTTAAATTCAAATATTTAAAGTTTTATTTTATGGTATATATTTATTATATTTTATAGTACATATTTTTACATTTATGTAGTATTAAACAATTAAGTTATCTATTTAATTTTTGAATTTGTATATCAGATATTCTAATATATAACAAACATTCTTATATGACGCAATCGTTCTCATTCTAGCCATTCTCGCACTTCGAATAGCTTACAAAATCACATGCCAAGAAAGCTGAATAAGCTGCGAGCGTGAGTACAGAAACCTGAATATTATTTATTTTCTTAATATTTTATTCCCATGATTTATGCAGTCGATGAATGAAGATGAAAATTTACATTGCTGGACATTGTATATTATTAAGATCAGGATGATCGCTTAGAAAAAGTATTCCATTTGGAGTATTGCTAAAAACTTTAATTTTAGGTCAAAATTTATAAAGTAGAGAACTCTTTCAAGTAGTATGAAATCTTTCTAACGTGAAAGAGATTTTTTTCTTTCTAGTCTAATAAAGACTATCAAACATTTTAATTAAGAAATTAAAAATAAAAATGGAAAATATGTTTAGGACAGTTTGTATTCGAATGTAATTTAAATGCCGTATAAGTATTGAATAGCGATAATCTTCTCTTTGAGTAGAAAAAAATGTGTGAAAAGAACTGTACACCTACAATAAACTTTCAAGAAAAACATTAATAAAAATTAATCTCCTCGTGCCGGTGCAAGAAAAGTAAACATATTTTGAAAGCATTATAACTTATAAAAGTAAAATGAACTTTTAACTTACTACTAATATGTTTACAACTAATATGGGCATGATATTTGTGACTTACGATAGGGGAATTCATTATTATGTGTAAATTAACGATTTTTGTGCGTTTGGCTTGAACATCATTTTGAAATGCCGGATAATAGTACAGTTGTGCATGTTTGAAATGATATGTTTTCTTCATGAATTGTTAAAACAATAAAACACAATATTTTCGCACGCTTACAAGTAAATTAACAGTAATTTAATCTGTTTTCATGTTTATAACATTCAAAATAAAATTTATTTTCCTTGCATCCAGTGTGACGTCATAACTGGACATCATAACTAATGTTTAGAGAATTAAAGACAAAATTTCAAAATACTACTTATATATGGAATGCTTCCAATGCTTGATATGAAATGATTGAATTTTTACAGATATTCAGGAAATACGTTAATATGTGAGCCTGAATATACTGGTAGTGATTTCGTAAAGAGAATTTCTTTTGAATCACGAGAATCTGCAATAAAATACTAAAAGATGGAAAACAGCAGTTTTGAATATTAAACTTTTTTCCCAGATCATTGCCCCCCGATATGTATCTCTCATCAGAACTCAATACTTATGAAGATATAGTTAGCGCATTTATAATAGCATTGTTTGTTTTATTAAACCTAAAATGTCTTAAATAAAAATATCTAACATAAAAAACGGTAAATTAAAGACTATTACTTTCAAATCATATTTATTTATCTGTAATTAGATAAAACGTGAGAAGCAATTGTATTCATTATAAAGCTAAAATTTTAGAAAACACTTAAATAAAATTATTATGAATATATTTCTTTTAATCGATTAGTATAAAGAAATATATTCATAATAATTTTATCTAAGTGTTTTCTACTAAAATTTTAGCTTTATAATGAATACAATTGCTTCTCACGTTTTATAATCCAACAAGTTCTTAGAAGTTGATGTCATTTATAATAAGCAACATAAAGTAATATATTAGTTATATATTACTTATATAACTATATTACTTATATAATATTATATAACTATCTAAATATAAAATCAATAAACGATTTTTAATACATCATTTTAACCAATTATTTAAAATTTTGGATAGTCGAACAATACAATATCTCTTGTTAATTGCTTTAAATTATATAACTAACTTCTAAAATATGCCATACGTGTATTTCTTAATATTTTTAACGTAGTTATAAATAATTTTGTTAGCTACTGTGTAATATGAAGTTTAATTTTTATATTGGTAATGTGATAATTATATGACTATTTTAAAGTCATATTTTTCTTTTAAATTAATAACTGTATGCTGCAGTGAATCAGTCAGTTTTTACATAACTTTACATCACTATATTATTATTATATTTAGTATCTGAAATAATACTCAGAAACCGCAGAAAACGAAACTTATTCAAAAAAATGAAAAATTTGCTTTAATTATCATTTTAGGAAAGCTATCTTTTATTAATATGGTAAACTTTTATTCAAATACTGATATTAAAATGATAAATATTCATCTTTCTTTTTTCATTTTATCATTAATTAAAGTAATTTTGTTTGAAATTGCCGTTTCAGTGTTATTTATAGTCATTTACGTTTTTCATCTTTGCCCCATCAATTTGATCTCCCCTAATTTCCATTAAGTATATTTTGAATACCCAGGATCAAATACCTTTCTCAGTTTTTTTATTGAAGCTGAAAATTATTCTTACAAATAAAAATAAATGCCATGTATCTCATAGTATAATTTCTTCCTCACTCATGTACTCGTATTTCTTTTATTTTTGCCTTACCTTCTATCATTAATTGATTATTAAACTGTAAAAAAAAATGTGATCCAAACTGTTCAGCATAATGATCGAATGCATAAATTCTAATTTTCTATAAATTAAGAAAATATCTTGAAACATTAAGATTACACTGTAATTATATATAACAGTACCTTAACATTTTTGTATTCAAGTTTCGTAAATTAGCAGATAATTAAAAATCAAATTATTCACTTTAAAAACCTTAAATTAAGACCATTACTTCATTCCCCAAGATACAAAATACTTTTCGACGAAGTGAAGAAATCAAATTCGAGTTGAATGTTCTAATTAAATTATCGACACGTTAATTAGATAACTAATCATCAAACTATTTGCATTTTAGTTTGAAGTATAAGAAATGTTCTGAATGTTTTTTAGACTACAGTGTTCTTTAGAAATCTGCTGTAAGCCTCAAAACTGCACATTCTTTTGCAATTTTTAGCACGTATTGCAATTAAAAAATATGAACTCTTTATTCGTAAAGGAGGTAATTTCAAGCGAAAACATCTAATTTCTAGAGTTTAATTAACATTTTTCTGATAATATTTTTTAGTTTTGTTAAAAATTTTTATTTTAGGCTCAGTATTTTTTCCTATATAAGCTTCTGTTTAAATTAATTTTAATTGAATTTTTCATTTTCCTTTTACATTATAAATGTCTTCTGTTAAGTACCTGAAATTTAATAAAAATAAATCTATTTTATGACATTGCAATGTTAATGATTAACTACTGATTATTCATTAAAATTAATGACTGCTTATGTTCTGAAGAGCAGTAACGGATAATTTATTAATGATTGTTATGATACTTAATTTTGCTCTGAAATTTATTCAATTTCCTTATTAAGTTTTTAAGTATCAGACATAATTCAAAGCTATATCTCACAAGTTTTACCTAAGACTGTGATTTGAAACTAATTTACTTACAGACAAATGTCACTTTTACAATTGCATTAGCAATCCACTGTAATATTTCAAATAAATTGGGTCATGTATTTCTTTTCTAAACAATTAATCACTTCATAAATATTTTACTAAGTAAATTCCGGCTTGTCTTCGATCAGTCTCAATTTAGCAAACACCATAACCATTTTTTTTTCAAATTAAGGTGCAGAAATAGACTATTAGTCCAAAAGGGCTTTGTCCCTGAAGGACTATTGTTTTAGCACAGGTTTTCGTTTTGCGATATAGCGTTGAATCACTATAAATGTACGTTTCCCTTTTCAAACCGTTGAAACCAAATGTTAGAGTCCTGCATTATATATTTGAAGAAATTAAATAATGAAAAATCTGCATAAATGTATGTATATTTCTCGCATTGTGATAATACAACGGTACATAGAACCACCGAATTTTGAATGACGTAATCCTCCTACGAAAATGGGCATGTGGAAAACCAAATTTGAAATTTGGAATTGGTTTTGTTATCGATTTCATATTTTGTAAAACTTTAACGAATTTTTGATTAACAAACTCAAGGATTTCAAAGCGAGCAATGGCAATACTCTACGGGGGGGGGAACCTTTTCATCTCTAGCGCGCGGAATTGTGTATCGGAAATTCTAAAGATATCCTCATTTAAAATTATTTTGCGGCATTGCTATTGAACTTAATTTTATGGTTTAAGTGAAAGCAACATGATATTTAATAAATAGAGGTAACACACAAAACGTTAAAAAAAAGTCCCTTCAGACGTAATTTAAAATCTGAAACCTTTTTTTTTTTTTTTTTTTTACTGTTTTTGATCAGGATCAATCTGGCGATCTTAGATCTTATTCTCCCTTTCTCTAAATTAGGTTGAAGTGTCTTCAGATCTTTTGACCACCGAAAATAAATTATTCAAAACATTTTAGTTCTGACTTACCAATAAGTGAATTCGAAGTACCTGCATCGGTCTTTTTTTTTTGCCTTCATATCTGTAGAAGGCCGGATGCTTCTTTTTTAACTGTGCGTTAGGAACACAAGTTTTAGGGTCGACTTGTAAAACATTTAAATATAAATAAACTAATTCACCATTTACCCTTCTATATACTTTCCTTATAATGTTGTATATCTCTTAGTGCATTCTTTTTTGTTGCAGATCAACTCTTGGATCTATTTTTGATCTCGTTGCTACAGTTTCTGAATTGCTCTTAAAAGAGTGCCTTTCAAGTGACACTTCACTTAAGGATACTGAAAATAGTTTGCAAATGCATAGTGACCTTTCTTTTTAACAGGACATAGTTGAGCCATAGCTGCATTATTTGTAAGGGGGCCCAGAATTCTTTCTTCTCAATCATCAAATCCATAATCGCATCTTTCGAATGTATAAATTAAAAAAAAATAGTTGCCCTCAAATGTCCTTCCGTACACCGACCGATATTTTGACGGAAGTATATTGCGCTTGCTTGTAATCATTGCCACAAGTTATTGTTCTCCATCTTCATCGTAGTTTGTTGAAACAAATTGAGTTTTTAAAGCTTTGAAAATGCATTGTATGAGGCTTTATATGATTACATAACATAACTGCTTTCACAAATTATAAGTTTTCCTTTAAAAATTATCTTAAATGAAAATATATAATTTCTACTGCATTTTACGAAATATGAGGGAAAAAAGGACACTTTTAAAACGTGAACTGCATACAAATGTCACACTACCACGAGACGAATATTTCCTTACATACATATAATTTCGACAGAGACTTAATTAGGTATGATTCCGTTGCAATTAGCTGTGCTGTTGTTATAACGAAAGGGGGAAGTCGTTCTTTATCTAAAAAAAAAAAAAAGAAAAAAAAGATTTTACTTCACATATTAATCTCTATACGGATAAATAAGAACAAAACTTTATCCATATACAGAGAACGTAAACAAGAAATAATAATTTTTTGAAGCAAGAGAAGTCAATGTAAATTGAAGTTTTATTTTAAACAGTAAAATTCGGTAACCTAAATAAAGAAAAAAATATTTATTACTTCCATGCTTTAATTAAAGGAATATGTCCAACAAATTTGATACTGATATGATTTTGACTTATACTGATGTAATTAAATTGAAATATACTGATATAATATTTAAAAATATTCATGAGAACTGTAAATTTCAGGTCCTCTGGATGCCAGCTGACTAGCCGCAAACGAAAGCTTTCCAACGAGGCTGCTGAAAGTATTCCAGTTAGGGAACCAAAGACCAACGATGATAAATCGGCAGATCATCAAAATTCCGATGACATTTTAGAAAGACTTTCAGCTGTTCCTGACAGAGCAGAACCATCAAGGGAACAAGCTTTCGATGCCTCCGGGCTACAAGTGCCGAATACAGATAATAGTTGTGGAATTCGTGAATCTGACGAAGATAATCAAATTGTGCAACGCGTAGTCGAGGAGGCTATGGACGCTGTAGTGCGGGAGGAAGAAAAAGACATGGACGAAGACACTCGCCGGATTAGGGAAGCTGAAGCTGCTCTCAGGTCACTCTCTGGAGATTTTGAGCCAGACACTGGCATGGACATTTTCACAGGTGTGTGTGGTGTAGTGACTACAGAACGTCCTTTCTTCGAAAATCTATTTGAAAAGAAAGAAGAGGTGGCGCCAAAGACAGCGGAAGTAGTAACGAACTCGTGGAAGGACGTTGTAACTCTTAGCGCCTCCTCAAGCTCTTGCTGTAGCAGCGAGAGATCACCTCTCAGGTCTCCAATTCTCTCTCCTATGGTTAGTACCCACAATATTAAGGAAGAAAGAAGGGATGAACCAGAACCGGTCACCAGCCCTCAGTTCCCTCAACCAAAAGAAGAGGAATTTTCTCCTCAGGGAGCGCTGCGATCTCAGCAACATCCCCAACAGCTACCCCAGCCCCAAACACCGATTAGCTCTCCAGAGACCAACTTCAGTGTGCCAGCTTCTGTGGACGCCAAACCGCAAAGTTGCACAAGTCAGTACAGTTCTGCCGATGAGGTTTTCGATGAGTTCACGCCCTTGCCTCCGGCGCAGCCCCAGGACGATAGTAGGAGCGTAGACGGAGTTGCTCCAAATTCAGGGGCGGTTGTTAATGACGGAGAGCCATACGACGTCGCAAGCCTACTCAAAATAGAAGGTACCTCCCTCAGATTTTCTCTTTTAGTACTAATGAGGGAAGCAAAGTCTAATTTTTCAGTTTTAGTACCAATTAGACGCTAACGACTGCCAGAAAATCGCGTATCCCCATGAAAGAAAATTTATTAATTACTCCCTTCCCATTTGGATGTTCGGAAAGCTGAGCGAAGAGTGGTGTCGTATTAATGCTGGCTCTCCAATTATCATATCCAGAAGAGAAAAAGAACGGTCTCGCCTTCAGATTCTGGAGTTCCCTGTTTTCAATTATTCCATAATTATTCCTTGCCTTATAGGCTCTCCTTCTACGTTTAGGAGAAGGCGGATATTAGATACCGACCTATGTAGTCATTGACTGCCTGAAGGGCAAGGAAGGAAAATGTACAAAAATTGTATAAAGTTGTGTTCAGAATCAGAGGAAATAACTTCTACGAAGATTTCTTTCCAGTAAAGTTTGATCCAATAACGCCTTTCGAAATCTAACATTTCAAATTCTCTGAATGATTTTCGAATATTGCTTAAGCATGAATAAATTTGTTGAATGCATCTTTTGTACGCATTTTTAACTAGTGCAGTCTTTCAAAATTTATTAAATATATGAAGTTTAAGTTTCTGACATGTGTCTTAAGTATGATTTAACCACTTTGCTTAAATAATGTTCAATATTTTTTCCATTTGTTTGATTGTAACCATCATTTAAACGTACATTAGTCGGTATCTCCTACTATTAGAATTTGAAAAAAAAGTTATTTTTCTTCCCTTAGAAGAAGCAGACAATAGTCTGCAATAATCTTGTTAACGAAATTGTTGTCAATAATCTTTGCTAACGAAAATTAATTAATTTCCATTTCATGCAAAATATCCAAGTAAAGAAATATCCTTAAAATTCATAGTAATGCAATATTTAATATTTAGTTTTTATTATTCTAATTAATAGAAGATTTTATACATCAGACATGAGAAATAAAAAAGGGCTAATTCATTGCAGAATTAGGAATCGTATGTTCTTTAACTGTTTTAAAATACATCTGCTATATTTCTTACTAATCTCTTTTTACATTAAGCTTGCCATACATGGGATAAATTTCTATACAAAGCAACTAAGTTATTTGTTTCATTTTAATCATATTGTTTCAATTTTAAGAGATCATTACTTTTAAAATTAAATTTTCACCAGGGAAATCTTCAAAAATACTTCCTATTATCTTCATCATTGTTGATTTGGCTGAACTTCTCTCTTTAAAACCACTAATAGGGTTTCGTTTGGCCAGCGGTAATTTTGGCCAGCTAGAAAAACAATTTTGGGTCTCAGTGCCTTTATGTTACTGCGAGGTGTTAAAAGTGTCCTCGGATGTTAAAAATTTAATAAGTTTTTAAAGATATAATTTTAATAATGCTTTTATTGAATTTTCATATGTATGTATCACACATAAGTAACTTGTCTCAAGTAATACTAAGTTTTATTATTATTTGATACATATTACGTCTTATTTACAATTCTCTTTCTTGCGACGCCTTTATTGTAAATATGCTTAAAAAAGTATAAAATATTATTCATGTTTAGACACATTAAAGATCTAGCTAATTTAAAATCTTCTACAGTGAAAAATTAAATTATAATGCTATTTAAAATTGAAAATACATTACTGAACATCAAAGGTGCATCAGAAAGACGAATCTAAAGCCCTAAATGTGGGTGGCATGCAATGTAACTGGTTAAGTACAGCACACATGTGTATCAATCACATTCAAAAGTTACTCTAGAGCAAGAGAATGAAGAATCATTGTTCAGCAACTGAATTTTACTTGCTCGCAGCTCTTGTGAACAGATCGTGTAAAAATCAGGCCTGATAAAAATGTACGGTAGTCATATCAGAAGATTTCGATTTTGTAGGAAATCGTAGGAACCTTTTGGCCGTCAAGATTTTGAATTATCTGCCTGAAACATAAGTATTCGTATTTAATGAAAATAAAACTCAATGACGGTAATATAGAATTAGTGTGTTGAGGAGGGACAAATTCACCTGCATAAAAGATTCATTGCCTCTCCCGTATCAATATCTAACGAGGAGATATTACTTATGTGTATGATGTTAGGATTGTGCAGGCAAATTACAAAACTCAAGAATTAATATGAATTCTGTAATAGCCACTTTTTGAGTCTACTATTCAAATTCGTCTATAGAACTAAGAACGTTTTGTAAAAGGCTTGTTTCTCTTTTATCGCGAGCTCTATTACTGTGCACAAAGACATTGAAGGTACAGTGTTGCCTAGAAAACTGAAGATGCATGGAGAATGGCATCTTTTGAAACGAATTGCGCTTCTGTCTGTAGTATCATTACCGTCGCAGCCATGATTGGCGTATCACGATGACAGATCGAGTGAGTCGTCTACACAAATCATGCATCTGACGTACATTATGCGTAGCTACTCAAAATATGCATCTGGCGTAATTGTACTCGTATAAGGTGCCATTACCCTGCAGCCATTTCAAGCTTTTTGAGAATTCTTATTATGTGAAATACGTTTATGTGTCTGAGGTACAGGAGACTGATTCTGATGGTCTTTACGTCTTGTCTGAGGACATAATGATAAGGGCGATTTGCAATACAAGACTTAAATTTATCCAGGACAGGACAATGGGCGATTCAAGGTTTAAATTCAGTCAGAACCCACCGTAGTCGGTCTCCAGCATTTCTCATTTTTGAGTGAAATCATAATTTCATCCAGAAGGTTTGAGAGCTCCAAGTAAGATTAACTTTAATATTACATAATTTAGTAAATAACCGATAAGTAACAATTTATATTATTAATGCAATATATCTTTTAGCAGCTCGTAAAACCTTTATTGTCACTCGGAAGATTTAAGTACGCTGAAAAACCTGAACTCCAGAGCACAAAACACTCTCAAATCTAAATGTTATCATTTTAGGAATTTTTATGGCCTCTATTCATCCAGTAAAGACGACTTTAAACAAATTACAAGTTAAGATAAAGAAGTAATTTAATCTGACGGAGAAATATTGTTCAAAACCGTTCTTTTATTCTGTGTGAACTATGCCTTGTTATCAGTAATTAAGCCAGTTTTTTCGTTTAGTTTTATTCTGTTTTTAGAATGCATTATTAAAATTTAATTTATTAATTCTCAAATTTTTAATTTATAAATCCTTTTGTTTATTTTAACTGTCACATAACAATTTTTCCATCATGTCCGACGGCTTTCCATTCAGTTCCTACGCTTTTAACCCTTTCGTGCCCATTATCACACATACGTACCAGCAAGAAACTCACTCATTTTCCGGCCGGCCCGCTGGCGTGCCACAGCCTTTTCTCGTTACTCCCGGCTGTCACGTATTTTCGCCAGTGTCCTGAAACGTTTTAAAGACCATTAAGTGGCGTCCTGTGTCCATTGCTTTTGAACAGAATGTAGTTTTAGATCCTGCCTCTTAATTTGGTCGCATTGTGTAACGTTGGTGTCAGCGTTGCGAGGGGGGAATGTAAACAGATAGATCTCGTCTCCTTAATTCGCCACGTGATATAAACATTCGCGTTTCTATATCCCTTAGAATCTTTTTTCTTATTCTTTTTTTGCTACTATGTAGGATCTTTTAGGGCTACAATGTGAGGTTCCATTACGCTTTGCATTGCTTTTATTTCCGAAAGCCTTGACTTCAGTTCATTATGGCGAACAAGCATTATTTATCAGACGAATGGTAAATGAGCCAATCAGTGATATGAATGAGAATAATGATTCATTCTCTAAAGAATTAGACAGCGATATTTCTAGTGATTCTCATATGGGCATTTTGTCATAGACTGAGCTCACTGAGCGTCTGTCCTCCAGTTCACGTGAAAGATTTTGTTACTTCTTCTTGTATTTTTATTAATTTAAAAATTTATTAATGTACTTTATCAATTAAAACTTCAGAATAATTTGAATAGCGCTTCCGAAAATTATTTCTCAAAGTAAACAATTTTTTATATACTTTCATGTAAAGGAAAAAGATTATTAAACGCTAATTTTAACCTATATAATATTTTAAGTGATAATCTAGAATAGAACCAAAAATCATGAAGTTAATTTTTTTTTAAATTTTTTTTTCTAAAATTAGGCTTAGCGGACGCACTCCCGGGCTGTGGGACGATTTCTTTCGAATCCCATCCGTCCCGAGCGAAAGTCTTAAACAAAGAAGCGCCGTTTCGAAAGAGTTAATTTTATAGATTAAGGCCTGGTGCTATCCCATATAACAGCGACAAATTCTTCATGACCATCGTATTGTTTCGCTTGGGCCGTGCATTCATGGACTCTTCCCGACGGTATCCGAATATGCTCAGACCCAAATTTTGGAAAACAGTAAAAGTAAATCTATTATTGGTGTTGTTTAGCGAAATAATACTTAAAATGATAAAAACAGATGATAATCATATTATCAAAGTATAATTTTTGTTTTTTTCTTACATTTTGCGCCAGAATTGTATTAAATTTCAGGATTGCTCGATATGTTCCCACAAAAATGATATAAGGGAATTAAATGGACTAAAATCTCTGTTGATAAAGTAAAATGTCTATCTAATGAACCTGGTTTTAGTATATGCACTAATTATTTTTTAAGAAATTTCTCTCTTTTCTTTACAAAATAGTCGGAAAAAAATTTTAGATATACACATAAATCTAAACTTTTAGTGCATTTAACTCACAATGTTTCGCGGAATATTTCTGGGAATTTCATAACTTACTTTAATATTATTTTTAATTAATGTTTTTTGTAACAGTAAATTTGAAGAATTAATTTTTTTAAATAGGTTTAATGTAATGCAAACACAAACAGAAGGAAAATAAAATGTTTCCAAGTAGGAAAATTAAATTGTAAAACTAACTTTGCTCCCGAGCACTTAATATCATATATAAAAGATTAAAATCCTCTTTTAACATCCCCAAAAGTAATCAAATGAAAAACAAAATCTCATTTTAAAGTTATTTACGGTAGTCTGGATACCTTTAG